TTAAGAATATACTGTAAAATTTTTGGAAGGATATTCACATTATTTTAGCTCCTACAGCCGTTTTAGCAGGTAGCGCAGGTATTTAAAATATAGACACTGTAAACTTTAAACTCATTTATCTCAAAACTACTTCTTTCGGCGTGCCATTGACGAAAAAAAAAGTATTCATCTGAATCACTTGAAATTTTAATATGGTAACATGGTATTCGATATCTATCGCTGGGACTACGATCAAATTTTAATTTTAAGAACTTCGACTTTTTTCGATCTAACACTGGTCCAGTAAAAAGCGCGAACTTTTTTTATAATAATTTTCGTTATTTTTGGTTATAGTCCCAGCGATAACTGCACTCCTACTGATTAATAATTTATTTGGATTTTATGTTTCAGATGTCCAGAAGAGTCAAAATCAACCACATACCGGGAGTCATCTTTTAAGATAACTTTTTTGGACGCCATTTTTAATATTGTTAAAATTTTTTTTACTTAACAAAAAAATATTTTTGTACTTTTCATAAGTGTATAAATAAACTGTAAAAATTTTAAATTGATTTCTCTTTTTTTAAACCTTAAAAAAATCCAGAAAATACCCTCAATTTGAGGGTTCCAAACCATCGGGACCCCTTAAGTTTCAGAAAGCTGCCGCGATATTAAATATATTTTTAGGGAGATATCTTTGAATATCGAGACTGAGTTATGAAAAAAAACTGATTTTCGATTTTTCCAAATTTATAGTCTAGAATACCTCCTTAAAATTAAGAATGTTTTTTTCAATGAGCATAAAAGATTCGCTCAACTTAACTTCGGCTCCCAAAACTTTAAAAGGGTTTTTTCGGAAACGCTGTTACTCCGATACGGCTCGAAAAAGAGGCTTAAAATTTTCACAAAACCTTAGAATGGCTGAAGAAATTAGACTTATATTACATCCCAGAACAATAGGGGACACTTCGCTGCAATATACCTACCGGCAATATTCACGGGTGCTATTTTTAAAATGGCATTAAGTGCAGTGTTCATCACAAAAAGAATACACGTTTGGTTCAAGGTGAACCATATCGTAAGATTCGGCGCTAATACCCATTGCCCACATTTTGCTGAGAACCCACGAAAGTCAGGTGACACCCTTAGGTTTGTTATGATTTTTGGTAATTATGCTTGAATTCAAAATATTAATTATCTAAATTTTCTGTAGATAATATTTGTGTTTAAAATGCGAGCTGTGCCGCTTTTAACACGGTCGCGAAGCTGCTTTCACAGCTCGACAAGGCATTGGGGTGCACAAATAGAACACACTTGGCGTAGCGTGTTTGCATAACACTCACGTACATAACGCAGGTCGCAGTAATATTGTATAATTCGGCCGTGTTTGTGCTGCGAATATGAGCTGCCATAACTTGGTGATTTCATATGGAATGCTGACCTCCATGTACATATGTATGTGTGCATGTGTGTGTGTAAAGCATGCTTATTTGTGTGCTGTTGTCGATATTGCTGCCGCTTTTGGAATAATCTCGTTGTGTGTTTGTATGTAGAGATATTCTGCTATCTCTGTCATATAAATGTAGCATGGGGTTGTTGTTGGTCTCGTGCTTTTGTTTTTGTTTTCGCCGAGCTTTATTTATACATGCATGCATATTTTCCTGCTTTCTTTGAGCGCTGAATGCAAAATAAATTGCGCATAAAGTTTAATCACATCGACTTTGCATTTACAAAATACAACAACAACAAGAAATGCAGAACGATACAGCAGCAAACGACAAAATAACAATAAGAGAGATAAAAACAAAAAACGTTAATAAAACCAAAAACAACAACGAAATGCGTTGAGATTCTTTCTTTTTTTTTGTTCTTTCACGCTTGCTGTTCAATAACACAACAACACTTTCTTATATTAAGCAATGCATTTATGCAAGTGTGTGTGAGTGCTTGTGTGTGCGCGTGTGTGTAGACAATGGACGAGTGTGCGTTCGCAATAACAATGAAGTCAACAACCTCCCTGCATTACTCATTTGCCAAGACTGTGTGTGTCCTTCAAAAAATTATCTTATATAATTAAACAAAGCACAGCGAACGCTCGGAGCTGGAGCTGGAGTCGGAGTCGGAGCAGCGAGCGAACGAGTGAACTTACGGGCTGGGTGAGGGGGTGCTTGCGGTGGTAGGTGCGGAAACGAGAGCGGGAGCAAGTAATTTTGAGAATGTGTGTGTGGACGTGGGCGGGTAGTGGTGAGGTGAGCGTGTGTGCGTAAATGCATTGGAATGACTGGCTCCTGCCCGGTGTGAGTGAGCGTGTGCGCATGTGTGCGGGTTAAATAGTGCTGCGCTGATTTCTGCGGGTGAGCTTGCGTTGAAACGCTTTAAATGTTACGCTTTCAACCTTCGTATGTGTATTTGTGGGGTGTTCAAAGTTTTTTCAGCTGTTGCTGCGCACAAACACAACTACAAAACAGGAATTGTATTGAAATTTTTGAGAAGTTAAGCAAACAAAAACTCGAACACGGATGCGTTGCTAAATGCTGCTGATTTCGGTGTTCTCTCGCTTTCACTGGTTTTTCGGCATTCTTTTTACTCCATGTTGTTGTTGTAGTGTTTTGATGGTCTGATAGCTACCTTCTGCACTCTTTTTTCGTCGCTGTCACCGTAAGAGATCAATAGATTCCTAAAGATAACCGCAAGAACAAAAAGAAATACGTGCATTAGGGTGTGTACGGGAGTTTAGTTTACCGAAAGCTTACCGTTTGGTGATCGGTTTTGTATAGTTTCGGGGAGTTTACTGCTTTTTAGAGATTTTGTTAACACCTTTGCTTAGAATACAAACATTAGGCAATTCCTTCTGATGAACTTTAAATTTTCTTTAGTAAGTACGAAAAGGTTTTTTTAAAACTCCTGTATTACAGATACTTAAATCTTATGTGATGCAATACCATTTATTTGACAAAAAACGAAAAGCCGAATCGATAAACAAAATTTTCCTATATTTTTTGCGCAACCCCATCATTCTGATATGGTTGTAACTGAATTTGTGGTTAGCCAAATTAAGCTGTCTGTCATTTTTTCTGTTCTCGAAAGTAGGAAATGTGCTTCGCCCATGAACCCATTAGAAGTCATTCGCCGAAGGCAATGAAGATAGTGCGAGCCGAGGCTTAATTGTTGGTCTGCTTGTATTGGCTCAAAAGCAGTCTTTAATGAAAGCGTTAGTAAATATTTGTGCTAAAACATTTGATAATGCTTTTCTTTTGTCAGCTCGGGACAAATTTGATCAAATGGTGTATCTTTAGAATAATTTTATGAAAAATTTGATATGAGCAAAACACAAATATTTGTGCTTAGTCCAGCTATTGTGTCTGCGTTATAATATTTTTCTCTTGCGCTCAAGGCGCTCTCAACTTGCCAGGTTTCCAGTATAATTTCACCTACCCTAAATAGGATTATAATATATTATATATGTATATCAGGTAAAGATGCAAAAGGCCTGAATATGGATATATTATGTTGAGTACGTACACTTAAGGAATTATAAAAAACGCATTTTTCACGATTTTTTGAAGAAAAATTTAATTCAATAAATAAAAAATTTTGTACTTCAGAGAATTAAACGTACTTTAATAACAAGTAATTAGTTTTGCAAAATTTTGCATTACCTCAATTCCGTAGGCAATCTCGAGAAGGTCTTCCGAAAAAAGATGTTTGGCAGTTAAGAATATTTTTTTCCTTAAAATAAACTTAAATCCAAAAACAACTATTATTAAATTAGACGAAACAAGAAATTATCGAAGAACTATTCTGAGAATATTGTTAAATATACATATGTGCATTATATAAACCAGGCTGCTTAAGTGTTATGACGTCACATTATCGTTAAGATGGTTCCTTCATAGATATGAAGTATTTTAAGGTAAGTTAAGGACCAGTAAATACTTATTTTCATGAAATGCAAAAGAAATCTGTTGTTTGAATCTGGGCGCAAGTCTCTGCTTATAAACAAATTTTACCTTCAAGCGTTTATAACATCATTAAAATCCGGAACTCGATAAAATTGTGCAATGAACCCTGTGACACCAGTGGAGGAAGTCCTACACACTGAAATTATAGCCTTGATTGTTACGTGACGTCTTCCAAGAGTCATTGACTGCATTTTGCAAAAAGTCAACAGCCGCAAAGAATAACAACAATACAAAAAGTGAAAAACAAAAACAAAAAAGCCAAAAAGAGAAACTGAAATAATCAGATTGTAAAAATACACGAACGCGTGCTGTTGAATGTCGTGCGGCCTACGCTCAGCGTATCCTCAGAGGTGGAGCGCGCGGCGCGAAAGCTTTGAGGGCGGTTCGCCTGACGTGTGTGCATGTGCGCGCCCGAAAAGTTGTTGACCTTCTGCAGCTTTACGCAACCCCTCCACCCCCACCACAATGCAGTTGCCTGTGCGGACTGAGCGAATATTTTTGAGTGCAAAGTGGAAGCGAGCGGAGATGCGCCAGCCGCAACAAATCACCGAAGTGTATGCGGAATTATGATCAATTCGCTACTCCTGCTAATATCTTACGAAATTAGGTGTATGTGTGTGCTGACACTTGCCGAAAATACTCGGTTGCAAAAAATTGCCTTTTTGTGAACGAGATTTTTAGAAATATCCAAAGCAAGTCGCAAAAAACGAGTTCATTGTATTCGAAATAATAACGAGTTCGCGTTGCGCCACAGTAAATTCTTACTGCATGTCTGTCCGCGCTGCAATCAATTGAAACCCTCACACTCACACAATTACTTACGCACATTCATCCATCGAAATACGTTGCTTGTGCTTTCAATTATCATGTGGTGTTTATGTACGAGTACGCTGACTGCATTGAGTAATTTTATTTAAAACATTTTTTTTATTTTTATTTTATTTTTTAAATTTATTTTTAATCAGTTCGTTTATTTCTTTGACGTTTGTATTTGTCGCGTTTAATACGCAGTACCTGTATTGAACAATAAATGAAATATCCTCCTCTTTACAGGGGAGCAAAAATAATTTCGCAAATTCTACTGTTTCTCTCACTTTCTCATTTCCTGAGCTGGAAACTAGAGATATTCAATGAAAAAGCCAGTCAGTTACTCAAGCAAAATGGAACAAGTTATCCAAATTGTAAATATTTTGGAATTATAATTTTTTAAAGCAGTTAAGAACCTCTTCAACGAAGTCCAATTCGAATCTAATACATTTGGGCCGGTTTTTCGAATAACTTTTGTGCTTTAATCTGAAGCTAGTGTGGTCAAGTTGAAAAAATCTTTGAGGGTCTAGTAATCCATATCTATAAATTTACTGCTATCAAGATCAACTAGTCTTTTCAGCAACTAGCTAGAGCTGGAGTCAAATGCAAACCTTTCATTGGAGTTTTTATACCCTTGCAACATGTTGCTACAGAGCATAATAGCTTTGTTTACCTTAAGGTTGCAAGTACCACATAAAACTAGTCGAGATAGATATAGGGTTAAGCTATATAAGTGTATTTTGGCATTTGGCATTGCAGTAGCAAGTTGTATCTGTGGACTAAAAATTTTGGAAAAGTGGGCATGGCACCGCCCTCTAATACGTTTAATGGTTATATGAAAAATAAATGAAAGAGACCCCATCTTTCTTGCCGGAATATTAAACGGATTCAGCGAATCTAAGTAGGTGAGTATTAAGACTGGCGTATTCGTAATGCTCTTTTAATATTTTGATTATTTCATCGGTTTTTTTTCATGACAAAAACCGATTACTGGATATGATTATTTAACTAATAAAATCTTTGACTCATGCTGGCCTTTAATTGCTGTTATGTTAAACTGCTTACTGTGAAATCAATTAAAAGCAGTCTAGTGATTTCTAAACGTGTCAGGTATTAAATATAATATGATAACTGTAATGTCAATGTTAATATTGTTAGAAAATAAAGGAAGTACTTTACATCTACATTTAAATAATAATAATAGTATTTCACTGCAAACTCACCGCCGCTGTATTAAAATGTGGTAAACGATGTTTATGAGTGGGCATATATGTACATAAATATGAAAATTAATATTTAAGAGGACTGCCTAAATACTTGAAATTTTGCTTTTTCGCGCAAATAACGGCTTTCACTACGAAATCACGAAGCCGGTTTGCAACGAAAATCGCACGAGAAGACGGAATAAAAGAAAAAAGCAGAAGAAAAACAAGAAAGAAATTATTAAAATGAAAAGAAAAACATGAAAATGAAAAAGTACGAAAATATTAAAATCGAAAAGCAGTAGTAAAAGTATGGCGCCGAGTATAAGCCCTCAATTTTGGTGCAACTGGAGCAAATTCGTATGAAGAAAGTGTTTGTGGAAAACTTGTGTGGCTGCGTATTAAGAAATATATATGTACATACATATGTATATAACATTATGTAGAAACATATATGTAAATAAATGCATTAAAAATATGGTTGGCAAATGATATATGTGTTTGTATGCATGTATGTCGGTTTAAGTGCAATAAAATTTTGTAAGAAAAATATATGCGTAATAAAATGCGTATGAAGAGAGATTAAAAATTCTATTTTGCCACTTCGCACTCAAAAACAAAAACGGCGGTCAATCGGGAGGGACGCGCGGTGGTATGAGTAACCTCTGCCTCAATGGACTCAACGAGCTGCGTAAGCAAAATATGCGATAAGTGTTAGCGTTGCAGCAGCATGCAGCGATGGCAGTTAGCCGTTAACAATACAAAAACGAGCAGCAGCAACAACACATGAGTGTACATATGTACGCAAACGAGTGATTGAGCGAAAGTGCGTATGTGTGCGTGCGTTTATTGCACTCACAGCGATGATAAGCGCGGCAGCAATAACAACAACAAAAATGCACGCGCAAAAAGACGTGAAAGAGGAAAGCACACACATACAAACGCACGGGCAGCGGCGCTGTTCTTTAGCACACACATATACATACATGTATGGGTATGCCTATGTATTTGTGCGTATGTCTGTATGCGAGTATATCCGTAAGTAAGCAAAAAAGCACTTAACGAAAGGCAATAACTGAAGCAGCAACAACGCCGTAAAATCAATGAGAACTCAACTGTGTGGAGGGCGCTGCTGCCGCGACGAGGGCAAACACAATGATGGGCATAAAGTGTGAAGGAATCGTAAGAGCAAAAGCAATAACAAAAACACTGAGTCAGTCAATTAAAAAGTGCAAAAGGTACAGTAAATGACAGGCGAAGAAAGAACTGACGCGAGCGCTTACGCGGCGCAGAGGCTTTGCAGGAAGAACGAAAGCCAGCTAGCGGATCGACACGATCGCAATGCAACAGCAGTAGCTACCGCGCTGGGCAGCGCGACTGCGCCAATCGCACCGGAGACAGCAGCACGGGCGTTAACCGCGAGCGACGGCAGCGCTGAGCGGTGATGATGACGGCAACGGAGAACTGAAGACCGAAAGAAGAAGGAAAAGGCGAAAAAAAGTTCAACTGCCAACAGCAACGACTGCCGCATCAATGGTGCTTGTAGCGGCCACAACAACAACAACGAAAAGTACACTCATATTGACGCGCGATGCGAGAACTGTGCATTCGCTGCGAGAACATTTCACTTTCCAAGCCTATAAAAGCTAAAGATCTATACGAACTCGAGTTTATTAAAACGAGCGCTGTGCGCGTGCTAAGATCGTTTGTTCGCCCGCCGTCTGCTGTCCGCTGTGGAGCTGAGAACTCTTAAAGACATTTCAATGATTTGCAAATTAAAGGAGCTGCAATTCAAAGTGAAAATATTTATGCAATAACTGGAGGATAAACTGATTGTTTATGAGAAAAGTGCGTTAACGAGGACAAAGCAGTGTGTAGCGAGTTCATTGAATTGCCGAAATAATGTACTTGTTTATGGAAAATGGTCAACAAGATCGGTAGTGCAAAAGAACAAAATGAAATTGCAGTTTACAAATATTTTTGGAGCAAACAATTTTGAAATATTGTGAAGTGAGTGCGCGAAATTTGAAAGATAAATCTGCAAAATCAACAGGACCCAATTTTTGGAAAAGAAAATTTTCGACATAAAAATCAAATTTTAAAACTTAAAATTTTTTAATTAAATCTTGAATACAAAAAATCCGCGTTTGGTTGGAATGTTAAGGATAAACTTCGGTCATTTAGAAATCTCTTCCAAAGTGTCGTGTACTTTACGTGGTTTTAATGCAATCTTGAAAGTCTGGATACCACTTTCTTGAACTGTGTTTCAACCTTCTCGATTATTAGTTAATAATAGACTTAAGGATTTGTTAAGACAGTGGGCGTGTTTATAAGCGAACTTATTTTTAAAATATACAAAAAATAGATTTAGAGTTACCAACTGATAAAGTGCCGTTATAGGAGAGGCACAGTTGCTTTTCTGTCCTTTTCATTCATTTCCTCACGAATTTGTGGATTACTGAGTATAAAAGCTTAATAAATGTAAGCTGTTCAATATCCACGTATTAACAACATGATTTTTAAATTAGGTATAACAAATGCGCGTTTAAACAAAAAAAAAAAAAAAAAAAAAAAAAAAAAATAAAAATGCAAAAAAAAAAAAAAAAAAAAAAAAAAAAAAAAAAAATTGACAGTTTAGATGCCTTAACTGCTTTTTTTTTTTAACAAGAAGCACATTTTTTAAATTACTCTGTAAATGGATAACTTTTCAGCTAGAAGCACTTACATATATCTTAATTTATATATGCATGTGTCTGTATATGATTATTTTTCTTTCTTTAAATATTGCAACCAGAGAGTAAAAATATCATTATCAATATTATCCCTTTTAGGTTGATTTTCAACTCAAGTCAAAGGACAAATTCATTTATCATATTGGCGAGTGGTAAGAAACGCTCAGCATAGTAACTTAATCAAGTCCGAACCAAAAAGTTATTGTCACACTTTGCCAACAAAAATTTAAAGTAAAATGTTTATCAGATTTTTAATGTCTCAAAAATCACATTTCCACTACTGACGGCTTTTGATTGGAATACCGTGAATTGCGCTTTTCGCTTTAAGAGGTGTGAAAATAATGAATAGCTAGCTGCCCTCAAAATTTATTATATGCATACGGAACTTTCAAATAATTTATTTAAATAGACCCTTAAGTCATCGGAAAGAATTCTTCATTCAATAATCACGATCGAAAATGAATAATGCAAATTGAGATTACTTTATTGTAGATATGTAAATTGGTAAATAGCAAGAAAAATCACAATACATGTCAACGCGACGAATATATGCACATAAGTACATACATACATATATACCAAATATATGCTCATCATGGCATCATGAATAATGAAGTTCTCATATCAGGGCATCTGCCAAGAAAGCAGCGTCAACGCAATCGCATAATAAATGCATGGAAACATAATTTACAAGCATACATATAAGTAAGTACATAAACACAAACACTGTCAAATAAAAGAATATGGTAGATACATATGTATATGTGTGTGCAAGGTGGCGCCGGTAACCAACGTCCACATAACGAACGCAGATACTCGCTTATCAACGCCGAAAACGAAAGCAAATCGACAACAACAAACAAGCTTATAAATAGAACAAACAAAGTTCTAATCCTAMATACAAACATTTGTATATTAACTTTAGGAATGACACACACACACACACATAAACTCGTACTATATATGGGAAGAGTAGGCGCAGCCCAGCAAATGGGAAGGTCGCTGAAACAAAACTGAGAGTGTTCTACTGACACGGATTAGTTTTTACCAACGCTAGCAAAACGAGTGCTCTAGCACAGCATGCTGACGACCACAACTGCGCCAAGCAGTACCACAGCAACCAAAGAGAAACCTGGAAAAATAGCAACTTAATAGGACAAGCCGGTCCACGAAGTGTCTAACATGCAGTAGCACCGCTGACAAGAAGCGTCGACGCCAGCGACGGCGTCAGCGTCAATGCTTTGGATCGCGCAGTCAACAGAAAAGCGCTTAAAAACCTTGAAATTGAAAAGTAGAGAAAACTACTTGATATATTAGGAAAAACTAGCGGTAATAGAGAGAAAAGTTTGAGAGAGTGCAAGACCAAGAGAGGCAACAACTCAATTAGCTTTATGGCATTGAGCACTTTTTGAGTGAGTCTATCTTATCTACGACAACGTAAAAGGAATCGGATTGGGTGTGGACGTCATTATTTGCTAGTGCTAGATTGGCGTAAAAAGACAGAATGCGCGAGTTTAAAGATCACGTAAATGTAAATAAACAGTTAGCGATAGTTGTCGATTAACAAAACTAAATCATCAACTTACTAATTTATTATATTAGCGAAATCCTGAGACGGCTAAACTTTGCTCTAAAAGTACAAGTGGTACACACGATCGTCTGTGCATATTTTCGGCTGCACTCTTAAGTTTTCAGAGCGTTAAGTCAACGTCTACTAGATCGGCTAGGCCACTTTCTTTCGCTTAGACTCGTAGTATGTAAACGTGTTGGCCAAAAAAACCGCATAGCGCCATTTAAGCGGCGATCGCTTGGCGCAGTTGCCTTTGTGACTTTGTGTTGAGCGGACACGTTGGAGAAAAGCGCTGCGCGCAATACAAAAAAGTAACGGCTAACGATAAAAACAAAATATTTTACTCAACGACTGTACAGTTGGTTCGTGATAAATTCGTGCGCTGAATTGGGTGGCGTACAAATAATAGCAAAATCTTATCAGCACGACGCTAGTGTTTGATTTGGCGAGAGTACGCGAGTGAGCGGTGCGCGCATTAGATTAGTGTTTGCGGGAGTGTGTGTGTGAGCGCGTTGGGTATGGAAATTAGCGCTGTTGTTTACTGATTGCGTTCGTTTGCCCATTTTATATACGGGCTTTAGTGTGTTTATTTATCTGTTTGTACATATGTATTGTATTATTAATTCCTTTTAATTTATTTTTAAATGTTCTCAAATTAGCTTTGCTTTGAACTTGAACTTTTTGTGGT